TGGCTGAGCCTGTGGGATTGTTGGACATAAATCACCATATGCTTGAACATTGGCGTGTCGTGTAATGGGCTGTTTGGATGGGTGGGTGGATGGGTTTCCACTCATGCGCAGCGTGTGGAGACGTTGAACACACATGGCGTAAATGAACCAAGGCATAAAGTGTGACTCGATTGACAGGGGCAAAAAGGCCAGGGCTGAAGAACATGAGGTTGAGCTCTTTACCGATGCTCGAAAAGTCCTTCCTCACCCAAATCGGGATTCCATTTGAAAGGAAGCACGCCATCCACCGAGCTGCCGTGACACAAGCAAAGAGTGTGAGTGAGCAGGCCAAAGTCCCCTACGCCTTGCAAAGTCAAAACGAGTAGTGGCGTGCCGCGGTACACACATGGTCGACGTCGCAAAAAGTTGACCCTTGAAGTTCCCGCGGTCGGAACGACGATCCTCAACCTCGACCAATAAATCCACACACATCTGGCGTGGCCAGGGGTCAACGCCATCGAACGCAGCACAGGTGAAGAGTTGAGAGAGCAAAACAACATCATGTTGACACAACACCAAGCTCATCAAACAGGCTGCATCAAAACTGCTGGCGGTCTCCGACGTACCAAGAGGCGGCGCAGTTGGTATGCCAGCACAGTGTGCGCTGGAGCGCGATCAATTTTCAGCAGCTCGGGGATGTGCTCGTTCACCTCCATGGCGATTGCTGCCAAATTGCTCTCGTGGACATTCATCATATCCCGAGCAGCCTGAAAGGAAGCGTCGGCCCGACCAAAGCACCAGCCCAAGAGTTAAACACAATCACTTGCGGACATCAAAAAAAGCCCACATGGCGATGGCGTGCACCAAACCTGAGTCAAGGAGAGGCGGAAGTGGGGCAGGAGCACAGGGTAGCTCGCAGGAATTGCCACCTGCACTTCAAACGGCACTGTGTAGCAACACAAGGTGAGAGCATAAAGCTGAGCTAAGCTGACGTCCCAGTCGCTAGGCAACGTGGAGTCTGCAAAGACGTACTGCCGCTATTGGTGATGGTGAGTTTGTACTTGGCGGCCAGCGCCTGCCCGTTCACCGTAGCTCCTGCAGAGCAGGCCAAAGGGAGGGGTAAACAGCACATGTCAGCATCATCAATACCGCGGCAAGGGCCATCAAGTTGTCGCTTCCCGAAAGATTTGATCACACAGCCCCTCGAGACTCACCGTCCGAGTTGAGCCGCTCGCAAGATTTAAGAGTGGAAGTGCGCTGTCGTGGCATGTGTCAGGCACCACGACAATATCATAAGTGCTGACAGTTCGTGTGCAAGCACTGACACATCCCTTTGCTCTTATTCCAGTTCCCTTGTCTGACGCCACTTGCTTCACACACAAACAGAGCAAACAGTCGGACCTTGAGGGGAAAGTGTTGCTTGGCGTTGGGCAGCGAGGGCAGACGACCCACATCTGTTTGCAGATCAGGAAGAGTGCCACCAAACATGAGAATATGCAATCGTGGAAACCGAATCCCATGTCAACCATCTGGGGAGGAGGTGGTCGGCGCTTGTTCCATAGCACCGCCATTGGTACATGAGACGAGGAGCAGGTTGCTCGTACCAAGAGAGGCGCAGTAGTATTGCAAAGCGCGACGGTCCTCCACGCGTTGCAGAATATCCATGAGGACCTTATCGCGAGAACGTTGTCAGAGCAGAGCCATTGAGACGCTGACAGGTGGCTTGGCAGGTATCACAAGCATAAGCCTTCCCAGTAAGCGGAGACGGCAAGCCACACCTGATTGGCTGCACGAAGGCGCTTGGCGCGGCTTGCAGAGCCCTCCACCAGGCCTGAACAGATTTGCAGCCAGCGATAGGCCCGCTGGCGCTCCGACAGGAGGTCATCCACCGTGGCACTCCTGAATGCAGTGATACCGGGTGAGCAAATGCCTTTGGTGCCATTATGGGCACAGGACGGAGAGATGGCATGCTGGACACACGCGACAGAGAGGAATCGAGCCCGAGTGCCTACCGTGCGACAGCTTCTTGCAGTGCTATGCGAGTGTTGACAATCTCGGTGCCCGTATCGTTGACATAGAGATGACTGAGCGCGTCTTCGAGCAAGCCTGGTGCCGGGTCCTGTTCAACGGTGACCATGTCGACCACGGGATACCAACGCAGTGTCCAAGCCACTTGGACTTTGGCTAAACATTCAAGCCCATTTGGCGTCACAAGAACGTTTGGTGTGAGCACGGCGAGATGCAAACCTGTTCAGCCCAAGTCGCACCTGTTTTGACACTCAGCTTGAGGGTCAGGGGGTGCGGCGTGTTGGCTTGAACCTGCAACGGAACATGTTTTATGAGCAAGGCGCCAAAGAGGTTCATGCTCGGCATTTGAAAAATGGCATGTGACCTACCGCGGCTGGGCTATCAGAGGAGTTATCCTCTATGGCAAGCATCAAAACAGAAGCAGATAAAAAAAAGGGGGGGATTGAGTCAATGGCAGGTACAGGGGCAGATATAACATGCAATAAAAAGAAATGAAAAAGAACGGTACCTTCATCGTCGCGTTGATGGCCGCTTTGAACCGAAGTTTTGACTGAGATGAGACCTGCAACGGCCTCGTCGAAATTGGGCACAGCACTGGCCTCACCTTCGATGCTCACATGCAAGCCGGAAGGTTCTGGACACTCAAGCATCAGATAGAATTGGTCAGTATCTTCAAATGAGACTCGGGTGACGGAACAGATGTCGCTGCACGCACCGGTTTCGAGTTGAATGAAGGCGGTGGTCGTTTCATAGAACACAAAGAGTGGGAGGGGCAGTGCAGCGGCGCGGGGGTCATTGGAGCCGGCTGGCAGGGCATTATCTTGGTGGCGGGAGAATACGTTGCTAACGTCGCTCGCCACCTATTCCTCAGATGTGCACAGGTCAGCCAGAAAGCAAGGTTGCACGGCCTGGCATCACATCAACATTCCCACGGGCAAGCGCAGACTGAAAAAGAGCGGAAACACGCTCGCGCGCACGCAAGTAACCAACGCACCTCGGCAAGTCTGTTAATCGCACGAGGGAGCTGCTTAAGCTTGGAAGCCTTTTGCTTGTTCAATGCTTTCATGGCTGACTGCCGCTGTGACAACTCCTCTAGTTGATCCACCAAGCTGGGAGCATTGTTCCCAAAGAATTATTTGGCGCATGTCAATAGAGGCGGTGGACGCAGGGGTAGGCAAGCGGGCAGCGAGAGCGAGATCAAACAGACCGTTCACGCTCGCGACGTTCGGCCTCGATGCGATTGAGCATTTGTTGGTGTGGATCATCCTGCAGCACCAAAGCCATGAGGAGTGAGCGGACACGGCCAAACGGCAAGGTGCACATGCAACACGCACCGTCTGCAGCTCTGGGGACAGCTCGGCAGCTGAAATGAGCGCCATATCGTCTGTCTTGGCCCTGCGTATGCAACGTACGTCAAGCAGAAGAGGGTCGATATGGATTGCGAAAAGTTTTGAGAAAAGTGGCCTGTGAAGGCCAGCCGGATGTTGCCCCGAGGGACCGGCCGGCCGGCCGGGCTTGTCACATACCGAAATTGGTTGCAGGCAGCGGTCTCCTTGAGCAGGTGAAGCTTTTCGTAAAGAACATTTTGCAAGCGTAAATGCACACTGTCAATGTCGGCCTTCATCTGTGGACAGACAGGATGGGAAATGAGGCCGACAGTAGGTGAGCTCCCATTGCAGTAGAAAGACAGGCTCCCCCATTTATGTCGTCGCACCTGAGCATTGGCTTCGGCTCCGGTGACGAGTTGCTTGCCGGCCTGTCGCACGCTGGCTTTAAGAGCAACGAGATGGGCCAAAAGCTCCTCGTGGACTGCCGCCTGACCGAAAAACACAGCAGGTTGAAAAGAATGAGGCCCAACCTGCTGTTGGCGTGCGAAACCAGCGCCTTGATCAGCAGGCCAGGCGAGCACACATACGTTTGGGCCCTTGGCAAGCTGAGCAAGCTGAGGGGCAATGTCAGCGAGCAAAGCTCGACCGCGCCCACTGGTCTGGGCCACAGCATCTTTCAGCAAAGCCGGAGCCTGCCCATCGTCTGCGGAAACAAGATCTCATCAGCTCATCTGTGTAACGACTAGAAGAAGCACGCTTCGCTAACCCCTCCTCAATCCGTTCTTCAACGCTGATCCCCACCACCACCACCATACCCTCCACCATCACCACCGCCACCACCAACATCCACCACACCCGTCTCTTACCCTGGATGTGGGCACGCTTGGTGGCCAGCTCGCCGCTCTGGCTGCCCTCGTCCACCTCCATCGCGGCGATTGAGAAAAAAATTACTTGCTTCGTCCACAACTCATGTTGACAACAGCTGATTTGATGTCTGATGTGTTCGACGACTTTTGCAGGTGTCCGTACATCAACGTGGTGTTGCGACTCCTCCAGAAATCTGAACACAACTACTACGGCACCTCGTTCACACCGCGCTTCATGGCGCCGCCAATCGACGTTCACCCGCTCGCACACATACCTGCGCCGCACTCATATACAAGCTAACACTCACATACGAGCGAGGCTTGAGCCGCCAACGCCAACGCAAAACGGCAGCCATGATACGATACTACAAGCTTACATGTGCACTCTCCCTCTCTCTCTCTCTCTCGAGGGATGTTCAAAACAGATGTTGACGATTCATTTTCCGTCTCCGCGACGTGATTTAGGTCAGAGACGCTCTCTCCCTCTCTCTCTCTCTCTCTCTCTCTCTCTCTCTCTCTCTCTCTCTCTCTCTCTCTCTCTCTCTCTCTCTCTGTCTGTCTCTCTGTCTCTCTGTCTGTCTGTCTCTCTCTCTCTCTCTCTCTCTCTCTCTCTCTCTCTCTCTCTCTCTCTCCTCTGGGGGA